TCCGAGTCCTTTAATTAGTGCACATGACTGAAAGCCTACCTGGAGATAAATATTAGTTAACCTGTGCCCTTTAGATAGTGCAGATGACTAAAAGAATTCTGCAGATAGTTTACCACCTGTGCCTGTTAGTACACAAGACTAAAGACTTACCTGCTAATAAATATTACATATGCCCTTTAGTTAGTACACTTGAATAAAGATAAATTAACTAATGGCACATTAGTTAATCTGTCACTTCTAGTCTGTAAAATGTAATGACTTACAGAAACTCCTCTTCTTGTTCCTGCAACCTCGTCAATGTTGCTATAGTGGCAACAAAACACAAGAAGGAAAATGAATGATGTATTTTTTGCCCTGGATTTAGTCTAACAGGTTCTTCAGTAGTATTTCCCGCTAGAAGTTTCACTTTTCCAAAGATGGAGCCAATTTTATGCATTGTGTCAATTTAAACGACATAATTTAAATAAGAACAGATAACATACAGGACGTGATTTAAAATAAACACGTGTTGTTTTAACGCCCACAGCCAAGCTGCCTGACAGACAAAACGTTGGGTTAAAAGCATCAMGTTAGTACCGGTAGTTCAATCAGGTTTTAGGCTATAAATCTTTTTAGTTTTACCTGAATGAGTGGTCCTTTCGTTCATTCAGGTGTGTGTTTAACAAATGTAACAGCTACACCATTTAAACACTTCAAACACCAGCAGAACGCTTTAGATTTACAAACGAAACGCGCCCATGTTGAACGTAGCTCGGCGCGATAACCCGGAAGTACACACAAAGCAGGAAGTGTTTCCGGAAGACGTGGCTGTAGATGCAGTGGCAGCTGTCATTCTGAGAAACACTTTAAGTTTTTCGGCTCTTGTTTTCGTTTTGTGCTCACTGGTTTACTCWGCGTCAAGATGATTTCTCTGACGGACTCTCAGAGTAAGTTTTTGTWGTTAAAATATCTGTGCGGCAGAGGAGTTAGCTTTAGCTCCGATTAGGAGCATGACTTGTATTCTGTGTTTATAAGATGTGGTTTGATMAAACTGTGTGTGTCCTGCAGAGATTGGAATGGGATTAACGGGGTTTGGAGTGTTTTTCCTCTTCTTTGGGATGATCCTGTTCTTTGACAAAGCTCTTCTGGCTATTGGGAATGTGAGTATCATTGTAAAACGATGTTAAACAGTAAAATCTATCATTAATACATCTTTCATAATAGTCTCATTTGAAGAGTACTGTTTGTCAGAAAATGCGTATAGCTCTTATATTAAAATAAGATAAATGTAACATCAGATAAACAACTTCATATCAGAAGTGTCTTAAAATCCATTTCAGTAGGAATTAAGAAGCAACGTAGCAGCAGACAGCTTCCAGTCTTCCCAGGAGGGGATGCCTTAGCAAATTTACCCTGAAGGTCAGACCATGCAATGCTCAGCGAGATGAAAACATAGCTTTTAGCTCTGCAGGCCTCAGTTAAACGGTTAAAGGTTCAAGATTATGACAAGATAATGGACAATTTTGTAGTTAAAAATTGTTACAAATACACMTGCGTGAAGCAGTCGCATTTTACCAGCTGACCTGTGACCTGGAAGAGTTCCATTAGTACTCATTACTATGAAATGGTCTGTTTATTATACAAAAAATGAACAATGGCTTGTTGGAAGATTTGCAGGATAAAGTCTCTTCTCTCTAAAAGGAACATGGCAGCACCACTTAGGTCTGGAGAAAACCAGACTGTTGTAGCACACCTCACTCCAAGTGTCAGCACAGTGGTGGAGGATTGATGGTTTGGGCTTTTTCTTTTTTTTGCATCTACAGAAGCTGGGCAGCTTGTAGTTGTAGAATCAAGCATGAACTCCCACAGATTCTAAGTCAGGGCTATTCAACTAAACAGCTCTGGGGGCCACAGTTACTGCAGGTCAACAKCTGAGGGGCCGAACATCCAGCAATGAAAGTTAATATGTAAATAAACCAAGTATTACAAACATCTGTTACCTTTCAATTAGTTTATTTTACTGTATTTAATTATGAATACAACATACAGAACCCTATACAACGGGTAAAATAAGTATTGAAC